CCCAACAAATTCTTTTAAAAATATTTTTTTAAACTCATTCAGTAGTGGAGCGTAACCCACACAACCCGGGTCGGCATGCTCTCTACCCGTACAACAGCCAAATGACTCCCATTTGCAAACATTCACGTCTTTGTGTATTTCATCTTCGTCGGCACATCCGCAGCAGACGCCGACATCTACAGGGGCAGACCTAACCATAATCGCAGCATCGCATCAAGCCAGCTCCCCGCGACTTGCATAAGCATAAAAAGGTAAAGAAAATAAACCGACAGCGCGGCCCACCACACTGAAAACACACAGCATGTTGCATTCCGCCAGCAAATTCAAGCGCAAATCTTCGTGAGTCAGGCAAAGAAAAACGCTTGGGAATTCAATTATCTCAACATAAAATTCAAAACAGTACTTCTTTTCTTTGCACAACCCCCCCCCACATTCACTCGTCTTGATTCACGCATCTTTTCAACCTAATCTATGGACACACCGGTTTCAAGCTGTAGTATCCATGATAATAATTGCGTAAAAAGCATTCTACGCGTATCTCGAATTAATCATTTTGTCCACTTTATACTAAAGTGATGTTGCTGTTATTCTTTAGAATGCCACAGACCTCCCCGAATTTGACGTACGATCTGTCAGATTAGTTAGTCTCGGTGTGTGTGAACCACGCTCAGAGTACGAACCCATCACCAACAGGAACTATACGCTGCCTGAGGGCCAGCCCGGTGATAAATGGAGGAGCCCCATGATTTGTGCTCAAGGTACAATAAGATAAGATAAGATAAAATAAGATAAGTAAATATAAGATAAGATACGACAAGATAAGATAAGATACATCTCTATTGTCCACAACCTGAAACATTGGTTTGGCGTTTCACCACGTACACACACACACACACACACACACACACACACACACACACACATACACACACGCACGCATAAGCACACGCACACGCACGCGCACATAATTTATGTGCGCTCCTATATACACACACTTTTCCCTCACACATCCTCTCAATCACACACACACACACACACACACATCTGAGCACATAACTATAAAAACACAATATCTTTGTTCCTGACGTTGCTGCATGTGTATCTTTTATTCTGTTGTTGTGTTACATTTGTTTTGTAAGATGTTGAGGTCTCGCCGATTATGGAAGATTTGTTATACAATAGGTGGCTTTTGATCAGATTTTTCTTAAATGATCTCGGTGTGATTGTACATGATTTGATTGTTGCATTTGCTTTTGGATTTTGTTGTTGTTGTTGTTGTTGTTATTTTGTTTTTTTCCTTTTTGAGGGGAATGGGTATTTGGTTGTTGTTGTTTTTTTTGGGGGG